CCCGAAGACAGAAGAGTAAGGATCAATTTAAATCTTCTCAATAGTTATTAGCTAACGTTATAACTTAAACTCTTGATCACATATTTCTTTCTTTGTAGATTCAAAATAGAGCAGATAAAGCAGGTGTAATGTCTTATGAAATACCACCAACGCCAAAACCACTCGCTGGTACGTATTCACCAGCTTTGCGGTATTCACCATCACCTCGTTCTTCGACCGCAACAGAACTTGACATCAGGCCATCTCAGCCACCGTCAAGAGCCGAGGATAACGAATATTACATTGCTTTTCCACCATCGGGATTACCCGTTCACTGTACGTATAACGTCACCAACAGAGAATCCATAATTTCCTTCTAACTAATCTAATAGCATCGAAATTTCAATCGAGTTAGCTCTTATTAATTTAATCCTTGGAAATTTCCGACAATGAAACCTTTCATTTTCAGAAATTCCCAAATTTCCTTTCAAAAATTCAATCTTCCCGTCCGTACAACTCGATCGATAAATTCACTCAACTAAACTTTCTACATTTTAAAATTTAATTTTCTATAATTTACATATAGCTTTTAAATCAGACGGATCACTGAGAGAACCAATGACTCCAGGCTCACCGAGCGAACATCCTAAATACCTCGAGTTTAATCAGAACGTTTCCGGGAAGAAGCATGATGGAGAAACCACAAAACGATCGAATACTCATATTGATCCATCTTCGATAAACATCACTTCATCCGTTACACCTGTACCTCCTCCTGGCATGTGTATACCATCGAATTACGTCAACGCGATGCCAGTTTGTGTCTTTTCATCTTCGAGCCAAACCACAAGGTCTAATGAGACTACTGATGGCCTTGACCGACCTATAGAACCAAATTCGAACTCTAATTCAAACTCGGTCGAGGTTGAAGTCGTTATTGAACCTATCCCCTTGTCGAACGATGAAAATGTATCCATCGAACAAAACAAACATAATTCTGGCTCAGATAATAACGAAGAATACGTACAAACGGACGTTAATAACGAGGACAACAGTAAACTTCATCACGAGTATATGAATCTGGGAATGAATTCTCAGGACATCGTCAAAATTTTTGGTGCCATTCCAAAAAAGTGGCCTGCTCCGCCTGTGCCACCACGAAGTAAGGATCTTTAAAATGTTTATTTTCCCTCTAACGATCAAAAAAAAAAAGAAAATAATTATTAAGATCTGTTACTTTTTAATAGTTCTATTTTTTTCTTTTCTTTTCCACATTTCTTGCGGATGATATATATTCTAGCGATTCAACTCTTTCTTTGATGTCGACAACATTTAGATAATATATCACTATCCATACACGGTCTTTTTTTATTCTTGCATTCAAAAATTTTATACCTCTGACATAGTCATGTTCTCTGATCTTATGAATTCCTTTCCTTCTGGTATGTACCTCACAGACATGAGTTATTTATGGACGTTCGATCTTATTCATGGCATTCCTGGAAAGACCAACTTACTCATTACACTCACTCGTTAAATAAAGACATCGACAGCCATACATATGGTTCTTCGAACTGTCGACAAAGAAAGTTATCCTTGACTCGTAAGACGGACTCTCAAGTTTCTCGCGAAAAATCGATAGAAAATGATGATGCCATCGCTGTATTCCGATCACGTACGGACGATTCGAAAAGTTCATTACTATTCTTTGTCACGGATTCGAGTTCTTCTCCGAAAACGAATCGTATTTTTTTTCTCTGTTTGTCTGTCTGTCTGTCTCTCTCTCTCTCTCTCTCTCTCTCTCTCTCTCTCTCTCTCTCTCTCTCTCTCTCTCTCTCTCTCTCTCTCTCTCTCTCTCTCTCTCTCTCTCTCTCTCTCTCTCTCTCTCTCTCTCTCCCTCCCTTTCTCTCCTTCACCTTCTTTCTATCAACTTCGTGGAAACATTACAAACTACGAGTTACCATTTTCGGTAAATTCGAACGAGTTTCGTATTTTTCAACAAGTGAAAGAAACTCGAATCGTCAAATACCTTTTATATACTTACTCGTTCATAGCTGTACCCAACTAATTTCATTTCTTTATCGTTTTATTTTTTCTTTCTTTCAGCCGTTACCAAAAAATAGAAGACTCCAATCTAACTGGCAAGAAGGATGTAAATATTTTCAATGTATTTTATTATTAGTGTCTTCAATGCGCGTTAAATCTAATATGTATGTAAGTCGTTTCTGACCTAACGCATCGGACAAAGTTAAAAATAATCTATAAGTCTAACTGATGAAATTAACGTCGTTTAAATAATTAGTATGTATTATTTTCTTCACGCGATTCGTATTAAGAACAAAAAAAAAATATATATATATATATTTTTTATATATATATATATATATATTTTTAAATATATCTATATATATATATATATATATAGTATATGAATGTGGAAATTAATATGGTCGACAAACGTTACCTAAAAATAGCTATATATTTGCTATACGCGTTAAGTAATTTTTAATCTTTTGAAATATATATATATATATATATATATATATATATATATATATATATATATATATATATATATAAGTAACATATTATCTCTCTATGTACATTTTTATTCATTTACGAACGAAATACAGAAATGAGATAAGACTTAAAATATTCATGTAACAGGCATCATTTTACGTATGTCGATCATCTAACTTAATTATTAATTATTTTTTACAATCGTAAATATTAAGAGACATTTATAGTCGTCGCAAACATTATGATGATACAATTTCTATTGACTTTCAAAGTGATCTCTGTGTATAATTAATAAACACTTTGAATATCAAGTAAATTGAATGCGTCAGTATGTATGTATTTGTTTGTATGTATATGTGCGTGAAAAAAAATAAGGGAACATTTCTAATGCGATTATCATAAATAAATATATTTCTTAAGGAAATTATATACGAGTATTCGTAAAATAGAACTAAGTTCGGTGTAGTGCCATTCGTAAGCAGTCTTTTAGACTCGCTTTCTCATAATTAAGTTATAGATTATAAGAAAAAATACAATCTAGAGAGCGCCAAATCAAATTTTCCAATTTGGTAGTTGATACCAAAATCTTGTAAAGAACTATTTATATTACTAATTCTCTCTCTCTTTCTCTCTCTCTCTCTCTCTCTCTCTCTCTCTCTCTCTCTCTCTCTCTCTCTCTCTCTCTCTCTCTCTCTCTCTCTCTGTCTCTCTCTCTCCCTTTTCTTTCTTATTTTCTATAAGTCGAGTTTTCTTACGAATTATAAACTCTACATTAATTCTTATATTAAATATATATATATATATATATATATATATATATATATATATATATATATATTATACATAAAATACATTAAGTGTTCATAAATTAAGTATCATAAACTGGTTCTTTATACGATTAATAATAATAAATATCATAATTCGAAAGAAATTGTAAAAGTGTTCGATAACAATCGAAAAACTTAATACTTAAGCGTTATTTTCCTTTTCGGTTTTTTTTTATTTTTTATTTAGATTTACTTCATCATTCGCTTGTTTATTTGATATCCGAACATTTCACAAAAATTAATTATAACTTACTAGCATATCGAAGTTATCTTCATGTAAAATGCGCCTCGCGATAGTACCAAGAATGCATTTATCTATAATTTTATTTTTCAAGTGCATAGTTCATTCCGCTATTAATATGATGGAACGATTTTTTTCTTTCTTTCTTTTTCGTTTTCTCTTCTTTTTTTTTATTGAAGAAGTAAGATAAATATATATAACTAATTTTCGTATTTATGAGACGTTTTAATAAATGTAAGGTGATTCGTAATATTGATTGTGTATTATCAACCTCTCGTCAACGAACACAGGTCATAATAAAATGACGCAGATCATAATAAAACAATTACTCCCACCATGTTTCATGATTTTTTAAAATGTTTTAATTGCAATCTATGCCATTTAATTAATTCGAAGCTGGATAATTTATAGGAGAAGAAATTTACGAGTAAAATTTATGAAAATATTACCAAAATATATATACATATATATATATGTGTTTATATAATATGTATATAATATGTATATAAAATCTATAAGTAGTATGTATGTATGTATATATATATACATAATATATATACATACATATATATATATATATATATATATATTATATATTTATATACGTACATACGTTACGTGTAGAATTTTATGCAAGTATCAGATGTGGAAAGATCGTTCTTAAGAAACTGGTAGACCGGTCGACCTCGAACATTGGCAGAACCCAACTACTCTTTGAAAATCAATTCTTAATACGAAAATAATTACACAACTTCGTTATACCTTAAGATGTTATATTATGCAAATGATTTCGTTATATATCATTGCAATCCGATAATTATAGCCCGGAATTATAGTTCTTCACCTTCCTCGTGTTATTTAAAAAAAAAAAGGAAAAAAAAAGGGAACTTCTCAAGAATAAGGAAAATGATTTATGTGTGATCAATATTTATTTTTAATCGTAAAAATGAGTAATTCGCTGGATTAATATAACTAGGTCGCAATCAAATAATCTCTAACGAATTAAATATCTTTTCGATGAGCCAACTTTCTATATTATTATTCAAATTCAAGGCACGACTCGATCTCAGATTTTCTAGTATAAAATTAAAGTTACGTACATGTGTGTGCATATATATACACACACATATACATAGAGCATATAGAACAAATTTATGAATTTTATTTATTTAGCAATCATTGAAAAAATAAAAGTTTAAATATTTACTTAGTTATGATATTGACAATGTTCGCTATTAAAGAAATAAAAAAATTAAGAGATAGAAAGATAATTAGAAACTATAAAATCGATCAAAGTTGACCTGGTACATTAAAAATGTGGTTAGATGTCAAAAAATAAAGCGAATAAAGCGAATATAGAGAGAGAGAGAGAGAGAGAAAGAAAGAAAATAGAACGTCATATGCATGCCACCAGTGTCGGTCAACATCCTGGAAGTGGTAGAGACGGTAATTCGTTCAAGATTTTTCATTAAGTTTCTTCTTTGAAACCAACATCTTCCGGCTGACAACATCAGATTCCTCGTTAATTAGTTTTGCACTCCCTAATTAGGGATACAATGATATCGGTACTCCCATTCGGGAATGTCAGAAACAAGAATCGTTGAGGAAAAGAAAGACGTAAAGTTATTCAACCATAAATTGGTAGGTATATATAAGAGATGAAAACTTGTCGAACTTCATCAAAAAGTCAAACAAAGCCGTTGAGTTTATCAACGTGAGTATTAACGATTTTGTATTACCATTTCGAATATCTTTCTTGTAAATTAACAATGTAACGTTGTTGTCTGCAACATTAACTGATATAAAAATCGATCAATCATTTTTTGCGAGAGACGATTCCAGTGAAAAGTAAAAGATTTTAAATAATATTTTTCGAAAATACAAAATTCAATCTATTATTTTTTCATGGATAAAATGTTTCCATCTGTTAAATATTAAAGTTTGTATTATTTTATATTTCATTTAAAAAAAAAAATTTGATAAAGTATTGATTTTATCAATTCGTAACAGAATTCACTTTTTATTTTTGCATCGTATAAGGCATTAATAATTAACATTGAAAAGAAAATTACAAAGCTCGTGTAACTCGGCCCCGACCTTCAATATATTACCGTGTATAATGACTGATACGTAACTTCAACATTACGAAAGTGGAAGTCCTTGTTTCTCGACTCAGCTACTATCATATACATTAGTAAGATCTTCTGATTGTTCAATACTCACAGGTGTCAACGATCAGTAGTCACCAGACGTTCGCGCAATTCGTTTCGTTGTAGCAGTACGTTCGTCGTTCGTAAACACTTAACAGGTATGACATTTGTCGTTTTAATAATTTTTACGTTTACTATTAAATCAATTAAATATCATATAAAAAAGTATATTGTGTATATACATATTATATTGTATATATATATATTTCTGAATTATATAAAGTTCATAGATTTTATTTATCAAAATTTAATACGTATTGTTTTATATAATTTATTTTATATAATTTATTTATAATAATTATAGAAAATATATAGAATTTGTTTATATAAAAATTATACAAAATTTAAATAATTTAGAAATATATAAGATTGAATTATTTATATTATTTCTTGCCATATGATTCTTTTTCTGACATTTACAAATCAAACATTCTCTCTCTTTTCCTCTCTTTTTGTTTGTACATTGCTGGAATACTTTTGAATTTCTTAATGAAGTATTTAAATAAAATATAAACTTTTTAGCATTCATTGAGAAATATGATGAATAGAATTAAAAGATTAGAAAATGTTTTCGTTTGAAATAATATAAGTATAATATATTCAAAAAGCTATTTATATTATTACCATGAGATGGTTGGATAATAATAATCACTAATTATTTCCTTCAAAGGTTTCCAGAACACCAAAATGGCATCGTTAAGTTCATCAATGTTATTGTTGATAATATTATCAACAATAGCTTTTGGACAACAATTGAAACCTGGTGCATGTCCACCACCAATATCATTTAACATCCGCACAAATCTTTGTAATAATGATATGGACTGCATTGGATCTGAGAAATGTTGTCTTACGAATTATGAAGGTACAATTTGTGTGAAGCCCATCACAGAAACCGTTAATGTTGGTAAGTATCCAATTGGTGAATTTTAATAATGCTTAAAATTTACGTAAATGTCTAAAATTTGTGCATATAAATACGTGATATATATTTAATAAACCTAACTATACAATAATTGGAATCACTTTTATATCTCTATAAATATTAACATTAACAAGAAAGTTTGAAATATATGTTATATTATTGAATAGGACTACTATTATAAAATCAATAGTTTTTATTTAAAATTTTAAATTTAATTTTAATTTTGGATTTATTAAGTAAATAGTGTGTAATATAAATATTTTTTATTGCATTTAGATTTAAAAATATAAAAATGATTCGTTAGTTTTTTATATATAACTCTATTATATATATATATATATATATATATATATATATATATATATATATATATAACAAAATCCCGTGTATATATGTACAATCCCGTTTATCTCGATAAATTCAAATATTTCAAGAGGTACTGAATGAAACAAAAAAATTTTTTTACACATTTGTTTGGTATGCACAGATGTGTGCCCTACATACTCCTCGTGTATGACATGATATGTCATATTTTCTATCGTGTGGTGAATGAAATTTCGAAGTCATATTTATATTTATAAATGGAACTATATATACATATATATATTTTTTTTCTAAAGATATATATATTTTTTTCTCATAACTCGATGACATTTGTTAAAACGAATTCAACAACGTGCCGCATGAGATCATTTATTATTATAAAATATTATAAATTATATTATAAGTTTTGTGTTTCTAAGAAGGCTGTATAATATAGACAAAGATCATTTTTCCATAATAATTGATCTCATACGTCGTTAAATTCGTTTCAACAAATCAAACTATGAAAGGGAAAATATATAGTTGCATTTAAAAAAATAAATTTGTTTTTGGAATTTCTATTACCACATGATCTGAGAAAAGAAATTAGCATCATATGATATGCCCCTTTATACCAAACATATATGTAAAAAAAATTTTTTTTTAGGTTCAGTCCTTCAGGACATATTTCAATTATTTGAGATAAAGGAGACATCTACACACAACGCACACGCGCTCATAGAGAGACAGAGGGAGAGTAAATAAAAGATTATCGCGAATATAAACAACTATTCATTGGAATATTTTATTAATATTGATGCATGAATAATCAAAGCTTATACATTTAGCAAAAAACTTCGTAGATCTATCTTATAATGAGTTCAAGGTTGATATTCGTAAACAAAAAAATAATGCAAGAAATATAAAAACAATTTCTAATCATTTATGTGCGAACATGAATAGAATCATTTCAACAAAAATTTGTTTACATTTTATGATAAGTTTTCTTTTTCATTTCATACATATATCAACAAAGTCAGATAAATTTTATATTTATTTTTATTTATTTATAAAGCTAAATAATAAGATCAAAATAAATCGAATAGAGATAGTCTCAAAACAACGTTGTATTTCATACAATTTTGAATTTTATTAAAAAATGAAAGTAAAACAACTTCTCCAAATCTGGAAAATTACATAAAAAAATAATTATTAATAAAAATTATTTATATAATACATTATACATGAAAATCGAACACAACTCTTCCCTTATTATTGAAGCGATCCAGATGGAGGAAAGAAAAAAAAATTTCAATAATTGATATCTAACAAAATAGGAAAATAGGAAATTCCAATATTATATTCACATTAAGGATAATTTAACGTAATTTCCAACAATTACAATATCAACTCTAGTTATTAATAATATATGATCACAACGTGAATAAAATGATAATAATATTATCTTAAGTCCTCAATGATTATCAAATTATTCGAAGGAAGTTACCATTTCAAAAGAATTTTTTAGTATCGTCAGATTTTTTATTAAACAAAAAATATTTATTAATTATTTTCTTAGTTTAACCTAACAAAATATCGACGTATCTTTTTGTAATTATTTCGTTAATGTACAAATTGCTTTATAAAAGAGTAACAAATTAAAAAGCAATTACTTAATTACTCATCGATAAATGAACTTGTTTCATTTTTGATATCGCGTAGATTGGTATTATTACCTTCTAATATATTCTAACGAGATTGATTTTTGTTTGTTTAGTAAAACAAGGTTCTTGTCCGATTATACCAACTGGACGATGGATATGTACATCAACTTGTCGATCGGATGGCGATTGCAGAGGCATCAAAAAATGTTGCCAAAATCGATGTGGCGCTTTGGCTTGTCAAAATCCTGAACCTGATTATGACCCAATTGAATACGATTATTCGCAACCATCTGTTATATTTCGCAGGAATAGATGGTAACAATTAAATATTGAATGACCGTGTAAAATTTCGATGAACTTACTTTAATGTTATATGTTCTATCGTACGTGCCATAAGCGACTTTAGTATATTCGTAATATGCGATAACACGATTTACTTATCAAGACATTAAATTTTGCAACGTATTAAATGAAACGCTTGAAATATAACTCATCAAATGTTTGATATATTTCTTTAATGACGCTTAATTCGTTATATTTCGCATTTCTTTCTAATAGTATTACTATTTAATTTAGAAATTAATAATAATTAATAACTTAAAAATTATATATATATATATATATATATATATATATATATATATATTTGAGTCCATTATTAATTATTCCATTATTAATTATACGAAATAATATATAAGTGCTGAATTATTAATTGTAATATGTGTACTAATATTTAATAATATTTTATGTAAATTTAATGTAAAAAAATTAAATACTATTAGGTTTGAATTAAGATATGTAAACAATGAGATATAGAAAAATAAAAAAAAATATATATTTTAATATTCTTTCATTCTATTATATGATTAATGATTAGATAATATACTTAGAATCAATTACCTAAAGCAATCTCGTTGGTTCCACATTTCTCATTCGCTTCGTAAAGACTCTCACAAAATGAGTGACGCAAGATACACGTTTAAGAAAGGCCACTTAAAAGCATCTCGCAGTTTATCCTCTCCAGTCGGATCCTAAGACTCGCTTGTATGATCAGTGATTCACTCGTGATATTACTTGGATGGAAAAACCTCATATTTTCGTTAATAAAATTCCAGTTAAGAGTTGGTGGTAATACAGAACACGGTGATTTAAATAGCAGGATTTATTACGAATTTATTAGACGTATCTAACTTAGTTCACGATTGACATTCGAACAGAAAATATTGTTGAGTAGGTTGACTTATTATTGTTCAACGAGTAAATCATCAGGAAAAATGTACAGTACGTATATTTAAAAAATTAACAATTGACCGTACCGATCTTTATTAATATCCTATATGTACAATCAAAAAAATTTATATCCAATAATTTTTTCAATATAAAAATTTGATTTCTTAGGCAAAACTCACATTCTCCTTTTTTGCTTATGTTTGATGGTAATCGCAACAGCAGGACAGCTTTCCAGTAAGTAATATTATTTTTATAGAAACTTAATTGACTTAAGAGAATTAAAAGTAAACATTTAGTATCAATTCGTCTGCGCATGTTTATACATAATATGTACATAACAATGTCTGGTACTTATAAATTTTACATAATTTGTCCGTTTGAAAAGTGAAAGTCAGTAGAACATATAGACTTCTTACTCACGTTCGTGATTTTTATAACTGTTCTGTATTTTTTTTTCTTTTTTCTTCTTTTCTTTATAAAAGAGTACATTATTCATGCACTTCGAAGCATTTGATTGTCTCTCTGAAAGGTAGTGATTAAGTTCAAGGATATGGCCTTTCGTTGCTATGTTGCGTACCATGATTCTTATTGTGATATAGCATTCAATAAGAATAACCCAATATCATCAACAACAGTGAAATAAAAATAATTATTATCTTTATCGTGAAAAAAAAAAGAAAAAATACTTTGAATAAATCGTTAGATTGCTTCCGACGAAGATTAGACTTTAGATAAGCATAGATCATGCAGATTAGATCGAATATTCAAACACTTTGTGTCAATACAAACCATAATGAAAACGTCTGTAAAGTTGACGTATTTAAATGCAAAGCTTAATGATTTATTTAAAAGACATAGCAACAAATTACATATTGTTGATAAATTATCAACGTAATTGCATATGAAGTATCTACATAAGTTGTAATATTTTATTGTTCAGGTAAACCTGGATTCTGTCCTCTAAAAAGTACCATTGACAAATGCATGCCTAGATGCGTTAGTGACTATCAATGCTCAAGTAATCAAAAATGTTGTCCTAACAAATGTGGTTCTACATCTTGTACCTCGTCGAGTGCCGTTAACACTGGTAATGGTTCCAAAGGCTCATCAAGCAGTATGTATTTATTTTCTTCAAGAAAATAAAGATTCCAAACAATGTATTACTTCAAATATTCGTATATTTATTATTGTTTCAGGCGGAACCGTTATATGTGGTGGTGTAACATGTAGAACTCAAGAAAAGTGTCAATTCGATCGCAATACTAAACGAGAGAAATGTGTCCGAGGTTGAGAGAATTTTTATAAAAAATTATTTCTTACTAAAAGACATATATTTATGTAACCAAGCAATCATGATAATCCTTATATTTCATGTAACACTGTTAAATGTAATAACTTTGTTAAATGTAAATTTAGTATGTTTTATATATATATAAAAATGTGTGTACGATTATTTGTAGAATTAAAAATGAAATAAATAAAAAGAATTATGAAAGATTTAACGTTAATTGTATTTCAATAAAAATTAATTCAGGTCAACAGTACGTATAACTTATTTATAACTTCACAGCTGTGTCTTTTAATCAATGAACATAAGATTACAATGAACAAACGATTAATCATAAGAAATTCTACTTTCATTTAAATACTATACGAATTCGTTTGAAAAGAAGAAGAAAAAATAATCGCTTTTAACCGGCAAACGAAGTCGATATATTTCGATACATCGCTTTTCTATTATTCGTAGGTTAAGAAATTGATAACTTAAGATTAACTTATTAAAACATGGTTTACATTGCGTGAAATAGAGAAAATCGTACGTGAACATTTTAATTATTATCATTTTAAAAATATGACATTAGGATGAATTAAATTCGTGTTTATTGTGTAAAGATATCATTCGAAACGAAGAAAGGTTAGATTTGGTTACGGTTTACAATGGCTGTAGAATTCTTAGTGAACCGTCTGAAAGCCCTTGTTTTACTTCTTTTCGGTGTATTTAGACGTGCTATGTGTTGTTTACGACGTCGTAGAAGATCTTCGTGCGATTCGATACCTCTTTCAGCAGTTGGTGTTGTACCAAACGCTTCAAACAATTCAAATACGGTGAGTTTTCTTAGATGAGACTTCTTGGAGTTTACTTTTAAGTGACATTTTGTTGATCTTTTTAAATACTTTCGCATCTACTATAATAGTAATTATTGAGAATGCTTAATCAAGGAATTAGAAAAATGGGATCATTGGGAAGAAAATCCAGTCGTTGTTGTACCAGATAAACCTGTTAATATGGTACAATCTAAGATTGAACAATACAGGCAACAAGTGACTAAATCCACAGAACCTCCCATGGAAGAACAGCAACCTAACTTTTTTGAGGTAAATTCAATTGTAAAGGAATATTGTAGAAAGGTAGAAAGAAAAAAAAGGAAATGTTAATGTAACATAATCGTTGATTGTAGGATATGACACCAAAAATTACAAGGCAAACAAAAATTCTTATCAAAGATAAAAAAGTAGAAAATACTTTTCGTAATTCTACAAAATTTGCAGTAGCTACTGATCCAATACCAACAGTAAGTTTATATATATACATATATATATATATATATATATATATATAACTCCAATATAATATTATTTGACACTAATTAAACATATTTGTATTTAGAACGAACTTAAGGAATGGGAAGATAATGCTGTCAGTTGGGAAGAAGAAACGAGCGAAGAAATTGGTGATCCTACAAAAGCCTTGAGAGAACAAAAGCGTAGAGAACGCGAACAACGCTTATTTGAACAGCAACAGAAAAGGCTAGAACGTAATGCTAGGCCACAACCATTAGGAGCAAAAATAAATTCTTGATGTGAAATAACATTCTTGTTTGAATCAGCTTTCATTTTTATGACATTTTTTAAAGGGATGATGTCTATGTTCTTTAATATGCAGTTGAAAAACAATTCCATGTGTATTGGATATCTTATAATATTTCTGTTATATATGAGAAACGATTTTGAAACTAAAATCTAACTATACCAAAATTTAAATAAAAATTTATATCATATATATATATATACATATATATATATATATATATATAAGTTATTTATACGACGGATATGATTTCGAATATAATATGACGAATATACGATAGAAATGGTGAAATTCTATTGAATATTATTAAATGAAATTGTTCATAAAAGAACATATCTCTAAAGTATTGCATTTAAAATGATCTACTCATATATTTTTATTCTTAATCATTTTTTATGACGCTATTAGCCTTGTAATTATTTAAATTGTAAATACTTATATTTATCCGATCGTGAATTAATTTCTTTAAAATTGCAGTGCAATTATTATTCATAATTTATTTCGCAATAATAATTTGACATAAGATGGATTATAATAATATAACATTATGTATTTCTATTATTATTAATATCTATTATCCATTATTTCTTTATATGTTTAAAATACAATACACATACATTGTATTTGTAAACATTCCACATTAATTACCTGTACCATTATAATGCATTGCACATCTTTTACACTTATTAAAATTATATAAAATGTATTAGATTTTTTGTACCTATTAAATTTTAGAGAGGCTCTTCTTATAAGAAAAATAGTTATCTTTGAAAATCTTAGGATATATAATTTAATTATTTTTTATGTTACGATATGATTCTATCATGGGAAGGTAAATTAAAAAAGACAAGAAAATTATGTAAATCACAGATTTTTTTATTTCATTTTTAAATCTACATTTTATCTTTTATATACAAAAATGCGCATCCGGTAATATAATAAAACTTCAATAGAATAAAATTCGTAGGCATTATTTCATATAGTCACATAAAAATAGCGCCATAGTTTAATATTAAGATCGAGATATAAAAAAATTCATTGCTAATAAACTAGAGATAAAGAACGATTCACATTGTTGCTGCTAAATACCGCCGTAAAATTGTATATTTTATCTAAAAACATAATTTATAAAAATATGATATAATCGTCGTAACTAGATAACCTAAGATTAAATATCTGTCTTGTCTTTTATTAATCAAATTCGGACAAGCTGCAATCTATTATGACAATGTGTGTATATTTATCGAATAGCGCAATATTAACCAAGAATTGATATTATCTTCGACGAGAAAAAAATCAAAAATCCGTATATCTTATATATTTATAGATATAATATTTGTATGATTACGTATCTATTTTTTGCACAAAATTACAAAAAAGGGCACTTATACATAAACAACATTCAGAATTACAGTAAATGATATGCATATTGGCAGAAATCTTATGTTGCATCTTTACTTTCGGTTATAGAATTGAGGACGTTCTTTCTTTTCTCTTTACTGATGTATAATATTTAAGCAGAGCTTAGATAAAATAACACTAAGCCACAATCAAGTAGTGATCAAGTAGCGGCTAACACCGTGAACTTGGTGCGATTTGATCAAACCAGAAACCTTTCTTTGATTAAAAAAGTGTTTGAGATTTTATAAAAATAAACACTCTCTCTCTTGTTCTCTCTCTTTCTCCCTCTTCTCTTCTCTTTTCTTTACGAAGACCTTGAACTTGTTCCCCCATACTATCGTTTATAATTGAGAAAGGTTTTTAATTTGATCACTGAGCCAAATATCGTTAATCGAGTTACTTGAGAACTCTATTTTCAATTTGGTGCGCTTTTAATGTGTGCACACTACACGTGGATCACGTGCATGAGGACGCCTAGTATACAATCAGAGAGGAATCAGATAAATATTTTCAGCACACCCGACATTCCTCAATAAGACTAACGTCATCCGTTTTGCTTTTCATGCACTCCATTTTCTTGTGGCTTCAATGGCTTTATCACATCTATCTCATTTCCTTGTTCCAAATCATGCTGCTGCTGCTTCTTTTTCTTTTTCTTATTCTTCGAAATTTTCCTAGTTGGATAGCAATATTTGATAAAAAATATTTTCAAACCCCATTCAAAATATTTGAAATCATTTTATAACTGTTTAACATACTTTCCAAATAATTCTCCATCTTGAATAGATTCTGGAAGTTTCTTGTTTAAAGTTTCTGGAAGTAACAATGACATCATGCCACCAAAGAGAGCACAGGATCCAAAAATGACCAAAGGCAAGGGTATCCATATTTCAGACTAAAAGGTTTTACAATAAATTTATATTCATACTTTATCGATAGAGTTAAATACATATAACGATAACGTATAATTTTCTTACTAGATGATTCACATATGGTGCTATTACACCACCAATACGAGCGAAAGTCGAGCTAGCCCCAAGACCTACGTTGCGAATAACAGTTGGAAATTGTTCAGCCGTAAAAACATAAATGGCACCGTATGATGACGTGATGGCAAGTTTTCCAATCATAGCAAGGCAAACTACTAGCCATGGTTTATCTAAAATGAGATAAAAGTAAGCAACCTAATTCTCTTAGGTTGACGTGACTAAAACAATTCAATTTACTCACCGACAGGAACGAACAATGTGGCGAGTAATGCAAATCCGGAAATCAACATGCAACCACAGAGAATAATTTTTCGTCCCCATCGATTCAACGTGAAAATAAGAAATGTATAGGCGGGCACTTCTACTAAGCCAGATATCAGAAAGTTCACGTAATCGTTTCCTCCAAGATTGGATGCATGCCAGGATAATCCATAATATGTACCACTATTTACGAGCCTATACCGATAACAACGATTATATTTATACAAAATTTTGTATCGGTTCTTTATAAAAATATATAACGGGTATTTAAAATAAGAAGTACCAATTAAAGAACAATAACATGCTTTTTCGTCTTAAATTTGGATATCGGAAAAGATCAAAGAGAGAAGCCTTCTTTGAGTCAGGCATACTATCATCGCTATTATTGCTAAGAAGAGTATCCAATGCTTCGCGTGGAATCTCCATTCCATTTTCCTTCGATGCACGCTGAAGTATGTCTTTAGCTTCTTCGGCACGACCTTTCATCAATAACCAACGAGCAGATTCTGGAATGAACCTGCAGAAACAATGTATATAATATACATATAGAGATCAGTTAATTAAAAATTATTACAAGACGTACCACCAATAGAGCAGAAATGCAATACTCGGAATGGTGATGGCAACCTGCAGCATTCTCCAATCGGTTATCAAATAAGCAAAACCTGCCGTAAGAATGTAGCCCGTAGTGAAAAATAATTGACAACCTACACCAGCTACTAAACGTTTCTTGGGGCCGACCATCTCAAGAGCTGTGAAATGTGAAAGATTAATATTTATACTTATTATAAAGTAAGTGAGGGCAGACACGTTATTAATTTAATTAAATTGAATAATGATTGAAACAAATTTAATTATTATTTTATAAAATTTACGAATAAATGTAACCATTTTGTATATTATTTTATATATTATTTCATAAATATTCATTTCGATGTATTTCTATTAAGTATAAATCTTTAGTATTATCATCTGTTACCAATTTATCCTATTCATGAAATAAATTTATCATGCATTTTGCACTTTCTAATGAAATATATTCTTTACCTATAACGTAAGCCACTAAGAAAACTCCGCTGGTGGTCGAACCAACGATCAATCTGAAGATTACGTAGGAAATAAACTCTGGCACTATGGCGACCAATATACCACCGGCTAGCTGGATGACTAAAGACAGGAAGAAAATTGGTCTACGTCCAAACTTATCGGACAAAGCACCAAATATCATCGAGCCAAGCATGACTCCTACCATGAACAATGAGTCCCCCGTAGCTCTCAGCCATGCTCTATCGCAGACCAAGTTCCACTGAAAAAGGAAAAGCGGTTCGGATTCACCGATTCACTAAAAAAAGAAATGAGACAGGTTAATCGAGCTTTACGTTTTATCAACAATAAGTATACCTCAGAAGTAGTGGTACTTTTATATTTTCTCCTGTCATAAACGTATTCTTCACATGGTTTATTGCCTTCGGTGTTGGCCAACTTCAGTGATCCTATCGGGGTTTGAACAGGAGAATTGTCATGACCTTGAGAATTACCATCCAATATGGGATCCCGCCGTAAACATTGCGACCAGCCCTTTAGCTCGTTATCCCAAGGATAACTAGCATTCATCACATCCTGAGGTAGGTAATACGTAGCATTCTCGATGCTCTCGTGCGGCAGTAGACATCTGAAAAAAAAAAAACAACATGAATTTACATTCTTCGTCTTATTTAATCAAAAATGAGAACAGGATAAAACTGAAAGAAAAAGAAATCAATAACTCATTAAAAAAAGATAAATTCTTACCTGACATCCATTTTTGCCCCAAGAAAGACCCCTGCCAATTTATGGAATGCGCAGGATATTGCCGGAAGACAAAGAAGCAAATAAACTCGGCGTTGATAACGACCGAATTCGCCCATTCGGAGTATCACGTCGTCGTATGCCATTTTTTATCTGCCTACTTTCCTCTTTGATTCTTCCCGAAATCGTCTTCTTTCTATGAATTGATCGATCTTCTATATGGCGTTATGCATACACTCTTTTCCTTCTTTCTTATTTCTCAAAGATACAACTTCGAATAAAGTAATAATCAGACGATTATTTTTAATCGTCGAATTTATGCCAGCACGACAGAACTCCGATTACGTTATTGGACTTTTGCTGATTCGCATGAACGATTTATGTCTAAAGAAGCACGCATAATGAGGATACAAAAAAAAGTATCGCCTTTAAATATATTTGCAATTTAATTCCGAAGATACTATTTCAAGCCTTTCTTATTTTTTTATATTTTGACGCCGACTTGTATTCTTTCCATCAGGAATATACCCTGATTGTTGTTTATCTTTACGTTTTCTCTATCGTAACATAGTATAATATCGTTATTTTCAGAGATTTGGATGACACTCGATTTACTTTATACTGCTCATCGAAAGTACAACGCAATCTTCAAATCAGCATCCAAAAACATCCATATTTTGTCCGCTCGATCTTTCATTTGCCTGTAATCAAAGTATAAATTTAACGATATATAATTTTATTGAAACATATATATATATATATATAATTTTATATATTTATTTATTTATTTATTTATTTATTTATTTATTTATTTATTTATTTATTTATTTATTTATTTATGTATTTTACTCAATATCCGTATGTTAATCTGTTACATTATTTAAAAAAAAACAACAGAAGCGAAAACCTGACGTTTATTTGAATTATTCAAGATTGTTACTGATAAATAAAATATATTATATCGAGATGATAATCAAACCGGAGACATTCCTTCAATCGTGCCAATAGCAGTTAACACGATTGTATTGGACTTATCAAAGATAATTAATTCCATACATTAGATCCGTCTCGATCTATCTCAACGCAACGCATATTGCAGAATTATGCGCCAAGACGTAAGCATTACGAAACCGAGATTATTATCATCGAATCATTACCAATCATAATCACAAAGGATCAGCCCGCGATTACACTTTTATCAATTTCAAGTGAAACTAGAAATAATGATAATTTTCATAACATAATAATAAAATTTCTACGAAAAATACATAATTCTATCATTATCCTGCTATTAATATAATATAATTTATATTATAAATTACAATAATAATTAACAACGTTTATTTAACCAGTTTATACAATATATATAGTACATGCTGAGTATGTCTCTCATAATCGTATATTTTTCCTTATTTTGCAGACGACGAATTGAATCACGATTGATTAACGATCGAGACAGCTAGATCGCAATCAATTCCTTTAAAAAAATAAACATCATTGCGACATTGTTGTATGCTATGTTTACATTTATAGTTACACAATCTCATAAATTAATGATTGACGAAGTTATACGAGAATTAATTTACGAAAGAACGATAAATGTTAAAAGGCAAAATATGTTTACAATTTATTCAAGCTCTCTTGAGGATTTGTAGAGCGATACGATGGAGATATATTTTACGGACAAGTGATATCAATCGACGATTATAGGTATTTTTTTTTCTTTCCCTCTCTCTCTCTCTCTCTCTCTCTCTCTCTCTCTCTCTCTCTCTCTCTCTCTCTTCTCTCTACCTATCTAGAAACCGATTGGTCAATGAAAATTAATATAGATAGTGAGTTGAAATTATACCATATAAACTTGAATTAAATAGATACATTATGACGAACCTAAACGAACGTGTGACAGCCGTCAGTATTTGTCAGCTTAAATTAGGATCATTTGAACTGAAACGTATTAGTGTACGAACCCACCATGGACGAATTAATTAGTCGGCCTTTATGTGAATCAACATCATGGCCAATTGATTTCTTCCGATCGAAACGCAACACGTGCGCTTAAATGAAATACTCTTTTCTTCGATGACAACGCGAACGAACATCGATAGGTATGAAATCGAGATCGAATCGATCTTTATCGGTCTTATTAAATCTCTACTGAGATAAAGTACTAACACAATTTATTTTAATTCTTTTATCGTCGAAAAAGAAATTACTTGTTACTAATTATACTATTTTGCGAATCGTAATATAATTACCAAATTATTATTATCATCATCATTATTATTATTTCTAATAATTTTCTAATGGGTGAAGAATTGTTAGAAATTATATTCAGATAAATCTTTTTAGAAAATTCTATTCTATGGCTAACAACAAATCTTAAATCTTAGAAATACTTAATAATTCTTAAACCTCTCAGTAAAGTAATTCGATTTCATAATTTTAGGATATTAAGAAGCGAACGAAAAATCGAAGAAAAAGGGATAAAGGAAGACAATTACCGTTCAAATTTTAATCATTGCGCGCATGGTGGTCCCTCGTGACATTGTAGAAACAAACGAACGTGAGTAACATTCACTCACAGCGGCACAATGCCGATGATATGAATTCTTTTTTTTTCTCTTTTTCGGAAAAAAAAGAAACAAAAAATCACGTTATCCAAAGACAATCGAAGAGATTAGAAAATGAAAATTATGGATAACACTTGCGCTTACTTATAACACGAAAACTCGAGAAGATTCGAGAAGATGAAGGATAAGGTAAAAGAAGACGATACCAGGTAAGATAAGGCAAGAAAAGGGATAAATAGAAGGAGAATACGAGCCTGCACGCACGAGCTGCGGGCGACGACTGCCGGGTGTAGACCTTGCTTTTACTCGCAATGCACAAAGATGGCCCTTCTTCTCAGCTCGTACAAGCGCCACGACGATCACCCTCCTGCCTCCTTCTTCTCAACCTCTTCTTCTTCTACTTCTTCTTCTTCTTCTTCTTCTTCTTCTTCTTCTTCTTCTTCTTCCTCTTCTTCTTCGAAGCAACCACCACGGTCACTATCTTAAATGGCTCTCTCTCTCTCTGTCTCTCTCTGTCTCTCTCTCTCTCTCTCTCTCTCTCTCTCTCTCTCTCTCTCTCTCCCCTCTCTCTCTGAATACCACCGCACGAGTTTTGCAAAAAACACACTGCTGTTGATTCTCCTCCTCCTTCTTCTCTTCCTCCTCCTCCTCCTCCTTTACTTCTTCTCCTCCTCCTTCTCTTCCTCCTCCTCCTCCTCCTTTACTTCTTCTCCTCCTCTTCCTTTTCCTACTTCTCTGATGGCTCATTCTTTAAGACGTCTTCACGTACCTGCACGTACCTACACGTCTCACATTCTAAGAAAATCCTATCATCCATTCTTAGGATCACCATCACCATCACCATCATCATCATCATCATCATTGTCCTCATCATCATCTTTTTCTTCTTCTTATTGTTTTCATCCTCTTCTTACGGATTTCAAGAGCATGTCCTTTTTTATTATTGTCTATTACCTCTTCAATAAACGTTGTCATTTTTAGATCAGGATCATATGTTACAGCATAAGCTCGAACTAATTGTTTTCAATCAATGAAAAAATTTGTACGATGTGCGTGATTAATAGAAGACATGAATTTGATACTTTTGTAGAATAGCACAATATGCAGCAAGTTGATATGAACGTGAACAATCGAAAAGAATAATATTGTGTGACATTGTGTGGCTAAGAATATTTGTAACGCTGACATTTTTATTTAAATTTTTCGATTCAATACATTTTTAATTTGTTAACGATAATAAAATCAATGAAAATGATTAACGTAAGAACAATTTTCTAATATATTTTTGCTGAAATAAACATTTTTTTTCGCATTATTATATTTTCATTTTCGTATATATCAATAATTAATGTTAATTGATCCTGCTTAATTTGATTAATAAACAAGGAGAATATTATTCGAATTATTATTTAATAATAATTTGTTAATCACGTCATTTTATTTTCATTTCTTTTTATTTATATATCAATCTATGTCGTATACATCTTATTAAAATACATAGTATGCATTGTTAGCAAACATATTGATAGCAGATATCGATAAGTTAGTTTCAAATTTTTCTCATGTCAATTTTCGTATAGACGTATGTATGGGCTTTCCTAATAAAATCTCTCATAGGGCTTATTTTTTTTCACAATCCTCTATTCGCTCATTTTATTCATAATCTGTAAGAAAATTTCAATATCCATCGTCCTTTTCCATAGAATTAAAAATTTTTTCGATAAATATTGATATTTATAAAGAAATCATAGATTTTGATAGAATCTTATAGATGGAATTATAGATAAAATCTTATTGATAGAATCCCACAAACGATCAATTCGTATCATTATTCTAAACATCGAATACGTACAATCAAGATTCCATTACAGTGATAAATTAGACTACTATAAAACAAATACATAATCGACACGCATGACTTCACGACATATGTATGTATATATATATATGTATGTATATATATATGTATATATGTATGTATTGTATATATTTATGTAAATATGTACGCCTATATATATGTATGTATATACGTAAAATGTATTATGTACATAATAAGGCAATCGCCGGATATCCGCTACTAACGAGTTTTGCGCTAACAGAAAGTTAGTATTTTATATAGTAATAAAAAAAAATCTATCTTTATAAAGTAATATTAAAATGATTAAATATTTTCCAATGAATATCGTTAAAAATATTTAAAAAAAAAAAAAAAAAAAAAAAAGTAACTACTTAAAGTTATCGAAAATAGATGATTTCCAATATAAGAAAAATTTTTTTTTAAATTTTCATGATATCCAATAATTTTCTACATTTTCTTCGTGAATCAAACAACGACGAATATGTTCGTGCAATCCCGTGTCTGTCATATGGCACAAAAGAATCATACTACTTCTAAAGATGCAATTTTATCGTGTGGCAACGTTGGTAATATGCGTTCATATATTGCGCATGCTGCATCAGTAATAAACAAATTGCACCTCGTACACAAATTACAACGAAACGATGACGAGATTAATAATGTACATTTATTTTGATCATTAATATAGATATCAAAGAGTGAAAAAGCGTTTTATCGGCCCCTACAAATAAATCATTATCAAATCAATTTTTTATATATAATAGTTATATAATATGTCTACGTGTATATATATATATATATATATATCTATATATATATATATGTGTGTGTATATATACCTATATTTATAGAAATATTCATATTCGATGAGTAAGAAAAGATCGATGAAAATTTTATTTTTGTTCAATTTTTTAAAAATGGATAAATAATAATTAATTGGGATGTCAATTATTTCAATTACTTATCGACAGAATTAAGTAATTTCTAAGGAAAAAGTTTTCTCTTGCAATGACTTCCCACGACAACGTTGCAAACTCGCCGAAACACATATTCTATTTATAGAATGTGTACACCTATAGTTAGTCCTGATTGGTTCTTTCACTTCTAGTCGTGGTTCTACTAGAATTCCACTGGTAAGCGAATAGAAAGAATGTGTATGTGTTAGACGTTTGCATTTACTCGATTCCTACTGAAAGAATTCGCAAAAAAAAAAATAAGAAGGAATTCCTCTTTCTAGAAAATTAAAAATTAACTTTATATATATATATACACATACACACACACACATACCTATATATATGTATCATATACACATATAATGAATAAATATATAAATATATACTCTTTGATGATGGAAAGAATTATGAAATTCAAACGTGAAAATATGTTTTTCAAAATAGTATTACTTTAGATCATATAGACTTTTAAAAAACATATACGATTACTTTATGCATCTAGAAATCCTATTTTCATACTAATATCAATAATTTTATATTCCGCATAATCATTAATCATTCCCTTATACCTTTATTTCGCAAACGACGTCAAGCTATAAACATTAATTATTACACGTGATAGAAAATGTGCATACGTTTAATCGCAAATACACGCAACATTTTCACAAAACGTATTTACATATGTATTTACATAGATAAAGATATAAAATTTTTAAATGAATAATAGGAAGATTTAAAAAACAAACGTTTTTAACGAAATCAGCTTTAATTCTGTAATCATTCTTATACTATCATACTATGCTACTATCGTAGATGATCTCATAGTGCATTGAACTTATCAACATCGTTCTTGATAACATTACCAAGGGAAGTAATAAAAATTAAGTTCAATGCATTTCACTTTCATTTCAGTTAACCATACACGATCGATTATCATCTACTTGTATGTATCAAGTCATTTATTCATCAAATTTTTTTTAACACTGAAATAACTTTACGTGTCTCTCGGCTTACGGTTTTATCTTTATCTCGGATTGAATGTAAACGTGATGCATGCCACGCATGTGCACACGTATAAGATGATTAAAACACCATTCTGCTTATCATAAGTCATCTATCTTACACAGAATCAAAAACCACATATATATATAATATATATAATATAATATATATTGTATATATATTTTCTACAAGTATTAGATTTCGTAAAGCAGCATTTTTATTAACATGAGAAATTTCATTTAAACAAAATCTGATTTCGTAAATATATCTAGATTGAATTTTCCAAAATCCTGGAACGAATTTCGAACTTTAGAAATATTAGATTTCGTAAAACAACATTTCTATCAAATCAAAAATTGTATTTGGAAGAAGTCTAATTTCCTAAACGTAAAAATTTTCGAGAACGTTTTCGAAGATTTTAATGAGTAGATTTCATGAAGATCATAGTACGAATAATAAATATTAGGATTAAAATTATTGAAAGAAGGTCGGATGCGAAATAAATTGGAATCATCCTTGCTCCACTTAGTTCTGTGTCCGATCTTATCCCAATAACACATATCGAGTGTAAGTACGCTCGCACGGCATGGGCATGGATACGGGCGCGACAAGGCATGAGAAAGAAAGAAAAAGAGAGAAAAAGAATTATAAAAGGTAGATGCCTTCGATGCAACTCGTTCTTCCCAAGCGGGTTCACCGTGCGCCCTTGCAAGGACAGCGTCCTTTTTCAGGGCTTTTCGGTACCCTCGAGATGAGAAGAATGAAGAGGAGGGAAGAAGAAGAAGAAGAAGAAGAAGAAGAAGATAAAGAGGAGGAGGAAGAAGAGGAGGGGATGGAGGAGGAGGAAGAGGAGAAGGAGAAGGAGGAAGAGGAGAAGGAGGAGGAGGAAGAGGAGGAGAAGATGGCAATAATACCACGGCAAACGCGTCTGTTCGGTTCTCTCCCCCACGTTTTCTTAGTAACTCCTCTCATTTAACAAGGGAAGGATTACAAGTGGCAACATTTTGTTGGTATGCCATCTATCTTCAAATTTAATCGCATCTGATTCTTCCAAGAATCTATAAGTTTTTTAAGCAAATACTTTTTAATGTTTTTCTTTTCATTTTTTATTTTTGTTTCTAAAGCGTCGAATTAGAAGTCTAAAAAATTTCGGAAATTATCTTTTATACATATATAATTTTATTTCTGATATTATCGTTCCT